TTCATGGCTGACAGGCAGATACCCCTCGCTACGGTCACCGCACGGGGCCAAGCTGCTAAGATCTGCCGGAATATCTCGCAGTCACTAGTTCGTATCGCTGGTAATATACAACCTGTCATCATTTTTGGGTGATTAGAGCTCGAGATCGTTGAGAATTATGTGTGATCACAGGCAGCTGACAATGCATTGGCTGCACCCTTTTGCGATCCGACCAGCCGAAAAGAGATGACATCTGTGACACACGGAGAAAATAAGTAGCAACGGCTGACATGCGTAGTCGGAAGCGTGCTTACTGTGGCACGCTGGCGCATGGCGAAGGTCGGAACAATCATTCCCTTACTAAGCTGTCTTCAACCCCCAAGACCCCAGTCCCAAAAACCCTCAGGACCAAACCTGTTGGGAGCTCATCCGCCAGACGGAGATGGAAGACAGGCCAGCGGTGAGAGCCTGCTCGGACCAGCAATGCAATGTTGGATATGCAAAAAATCATGAGAAGAATTCCAGCAATTGGAGGTACGTCAGATTCTTGGAAACAGGAGAAAACAGGTACTGCTAGAGACTGAACTTGTCAAGATGTCTCCATGCTGTCTGCAAGTCATACACTCACCCCACCTACTCGGCTTGCCAGACCTGTATGCCAATATTCGGGTCCCTGGCCGGCAGCCGTTGCAGGATCGTACCGATCGGGCAGTCATTTGTGATGCTGCAGCGGCACACCGAACACCAAGCTGCTGATTGCCAGTAACGGCTGTGCAGAAGAAAAAGCCTCTCAGTCAAAATATGCAAGACGGCATCACATGTCACATCATGGGGCACTAGAGCAGATATGTGTTCATGCGACGTGTTATTCAAGAGATGGGCCAAACGACTTGACCCACATCAGCCAGCAAACAGTTCTTGGTTGTTTGGTAGTGTCGTTGTTTGGATGGATTGTTATTCCGAGTCCTTCTCCTGTGTCACGGGATTAAAACAGGCAAGCATCCCATCCCGAAGCAGAGTCCAGGTTCCCATAGCCTGTCCCGAGATTCAGGTGGTGAGGCTCACAGACGTCTAATTGCAAGAGTGACTCTAGTTGGAGCATCTACCATTTCTGACGACAGGGCCGAGCGTGCGCGACAGGCTCCTGCACGGGTCACGCTGGGTGTTGCCTGAGCTGGCTGATACAGAGCCCCGCTGGCGAGTGATGCGACCCCCGAACGAAGCATCCTGTTCTGCTGGGGCCGTTGCACCGTTGCGCTTGTTCATACAACATAATATTTTGTTCTGCAGCTGCTGCTGTTGACGGTTGCGGCCGTGCATACGGCAGGCATGACTTCTTGATGTAGATGCTAGCACTAGTCATGCTGTTAGGATGCTTGGTATTTGCAGTACTTCCTCCTTGGTTTACATGCGCTGGCTGTATCAACACGTTGGTTACTTGCTGCTCCTACAGACTACTTAGACTACTTCGCGTAGTCGCACGTACTACAACTTCAAGAACTGTTCAGGGCTGAACGGCTCGAGGATCAGAATAGCTCCAGACCAGGGGCTTGATGAGTGTGATGTTTCTGCGGAACCCTGACCCTGCCAACTCGTTTGCATGAAGAGCAACCAAGCAGTGAGCACTCGGGTCCAGCAGATCATTAGTTTGCCTTAACTGATGCAGGCGGGCAAACCTGGCCTGAGCCGGGCGCTGACAGAGGCAGTGGCCGAGAGCTTCAGCGATGCGCAGAGAGCTGAGGGTTCCAAAGAGCCGGCTTCAAGCAAGAAGCCTGGGTCCCAGACGGACTCTTCTGTTGTATCCAACGCTGACACAAACTACGTCTGCACTGAACACTGGCCTCCAGTACCAACTCCAGGGGCTTCTTTGTCTTTGAGCATGATCTTTGCAATGGCCTCAGGCTCTAAGAAACGAGAGTCTTCTCGATGAATCCAGTCAGATCTGAAAGTCCTCAGCCAAACGCCGGCTGCCCGGGCATCGTCCGAAATCGTCCTGATGTCGCAGACTCGCAGCAGTGTCTTCAGGGTGCGGGGTGTGTTGCTGACAGTCACGATGGATCTATACGGTTTCTATTGCGATATCCCACGCATGAAGTGGAAGAGAACCTTCAGCTGAGAGTTGAATTGATCCGGCACTCCGATCCCGGACTTGGTGACAACCTTTGGAGCCATATCCGAAGTGGTTTCCATGAGAGACACAGCCCTGGTGCAAAGCATCCTCGACACTGTCCGAGGGTCCAGGGTTCATGAGCGTTTATCTGCGCTTTTTGTGCGCTTTGCCCTTCGCAACTCTGAAGTCTCCATCCGTCTCCATCCTTCGCAGGCCGCGCTGCTCAATGCCAGACGCGTTTGGCCATACAGGCGCTCCTTCGCGTGGGATTCCCAAGTGCTAGGCCAGGCCATGCGAGGATTTGAATTGGAATCTGGGCTCTGAGACTGGAGACTGAAGAACTGAATAGGCGCATATAGGCGCAGGGTGCACGGTTTGGGGCCCGGCATGTCGCGGCCTGGAAGCTTTCTGATCCGAGGCAATTCTTTCCAGAGTACTCCACAATATATTCTAAGAGCCCTTTCACAAAGCCAGACCTCTGAACGCGAATCGCCCCTGTGCTTGAAGTCGCATGCAGAGTACATCAACTTGAACCTTCGGAGTGGCTCAGCGTCAGACTTTCGGTTTTCTATAGTTCATGCTGAGCGCAATCATGAATCGTATTGTGCTGTGCGAGGCCTTATGCATACTTCGAATACTAAATCAGTTTTTGCCACATTCGTTGCAAGCCACACGAGCCGTCACGAGCCTCCGAACGTCAGCGACACAATTGGTCGGAAGTGATTAACGACAAAAGCATGCAAAGGACTCTGCGCTGTTCGTCAAACTATCTTATCCCAAAATGGAACAACAACCGTGGAAGGCTGCCCGCTTCGCAAGAGGCAGCTGCGAGAATTGGTCGGCAATGGTCAAACAGGCAACCATAATGCGATCCTTATGGCAACACTCTCTGCTCGCGGTTAACCCACTAAGTGCGTTGAACCCTCGACCGAAGGACCTGAGGTTGCGTAAGCCATTGACTGCGAGTCACACAATGCCGTGATGCTTCAATACATGTAGGAAACCATCCCGAAATCTTCGCATCAATACACCCACGGTCATAGCTTTGTTTGGGAAGCTAGCCTGGAATCCGAAAGTAGAAATGTGTTCAAGCATCACTGCAACCCAAGTGCATCTGTCGGCTGTTTGTTTAGTGCCCCAGCGCCAATTGTGTTGGCAAGCAAACCGCGTAAGGAAAGCTAACGCATCGTCGCTAACAGCTTCACCGACGGGACAACTTGGGGCACTAAGTATGGGGACTTGGTCCCAATACACCGGAGCGCTGAACTCAACGACAGGTGAACAATCCACATATGGACGTGCACGCTAGCAGGTGGAGAACAACAAAACTTTTCTTCTGGAACACCAACTCGATACACACAACAAGCTCCATTGCACCCAACGGACCGTTTTCTTGGCACGCGTGCTGCTGGAGGGCAAGCGCAAGCAGCCGGCTGTTGAAGACACGTACTACCTATCCATGATTGAGGGTCGCAGTCATAATTATAACCTAATGAAAAAAGTTGTTTGCCTAGCTGCAAAGTGGCAACAAGATGAGTCTGTATATCACATGCCCGTGAAACGTACGGCTGCAGTTCATGTAATTACTTTTGCTTTGAAGGCTCGCGATGCTAAAATTTCGGGCCGCATTGCTCTCAGTGAAGAAAGGTGCTTGGGTGGTATCACTCAGATTTCGATGAGCCGCGACTTTGACTACGTCAGCGGAAGCCCCTTGACGCTTCCAACTTTCTTCCAAGAAAAGTAATCACGACTCATGGTTATCAAAAGTCGCAACATCCTCAAGCAGAGCAAGCTCTATTGAGCACATTGGCACAATCAGATGCGATACAAGCCGGTCCGGTTGTGAGTTTGAAAGCCCGTAACTCTGCTCTTTGCGACGTGTGATCATCTCCTGGAAGTAAAGTGACCTGCTCAATTACCACCGAAGTTGCGAAGTACGGAGGCGTTTCCACTTCTCGTGAAAGGCACTGCCGTCCATGAAAATTGGAACTAGAGTTTCAACAGTGGTTGCGACATCCGGAAACACGATTTCTGATCAGTAAGCTTGTTCAGCTTCAGCTTCGCTTGGCATGAACATGATCCCGGTTGAGCATGGTAGTAAACTTTCATTACCACGAATTGGTCGCCATTCAGAGTAATGGGGGCAATCAACAAACGAATGTTGATGAGTTTCACGAACATCGCATTCAGGGCCAACATCCGTATCCACCAACCCTGCTGCCGCTAACCTAGGACCTGTGTAGATTGCCCCTGTGGGTAGGAGATCAAAAACACTTTGTGTGTGATTAAAACCACACGGAAGCCGATTCAGAAAAGGCTGCACTAACTTAAAGGTATCTTCCTTATCAAAGGCGCCGTCCAACGGGAATCGAGTGAGAAAGATATCTACATTGAAGTTCTCAGGCTGCACGGGGCAGTCATGTCTATCCATCACTTGGGAAAGTAACTATCGGCGCACAGCAAACCCAACACGCTCCTGAAAAAACTGGTTGCTCTCAGAGTCGAGGCAAAAAAAAGAGCTGTCTGGCAACTGCAACTTTAGATTATCTGGGTCGTGGATTTTCCACTGCAGTTCCAACAAAAGCCACAGCTGATACGATGCCGTTACTAGTCTGTGTTCACCTTGTTTTTCCCCAGACAGGTACGGCTTCGGGTTCTCTCCTCAGAAAAAAGGTGGGCCCCGATTTGGCTCCCTTCATGTTTCTTGTCTGGGCTCCTGGGTCGGATGGGTGGGCCGCGGCGACGAAATGGGCTCCCATTACGCTCCCTTCATCAACAGGCTCATGTTTCTTCATGTTTCCTTTCTGGGCGCCTGGGTCCGCTGGGTGGGCCGCGGCGACCCCTTCAAGCCGAAAGTCTCGGACGTGAGTGCAGTACCGCCTGTGCCGCCTGTGAGCCCATGTTGCGGAGCTTATGGTCCTTGGTCCACCTTGATCCATTGCTCATCATTGTAGGTGGCGATGTCGTAGCCACGGTTGGTGTGAGAGCACTTTGCATCCTCCACGGCCAGGTGGAGCTCGTCCTGTGAGTCGAAGGGGTAGTAGGGTTCCATAGTGCCTGTGGAGTACTGTCTCTTGGTGCCTTGGGCCGCAAAGCCAACGAGGCTATCTCCAAGCTTGATCTCGGCTTCCATGGCGTCTGTGTAGGAAGGGACCGCCCTTGTGAGGAAGCGGTTCAGCCGGGCCGCCGCCGCGTAATCCTGGCTCGTCTTCTGTGAGGCCGTAGCAAAAGCCTTTGTCTCGACTTCTGTGTGCTCGATCTGGTGCATGAGCTGATTGTACCACACATCTCGCCAGGCTGCAAGGATGCGGTCCTTGTGCTCGGCGTGGAGCTGAACTTCGCAACGCGCATCGGAGACCGTTCCTGTGGTCCCCGTGAGGCTGCGCTGCCGCCTGCTGTAAAAGACTCTTCCCAACCATGCACCCTCCTGATCCTCAAGGATAAGCGTCTTCCACCTTGGCACCAGGGTCTCCTTCTTGAAGCGAGGGAACAGCTTTTGGTACGCATTCATCAGGCCATGCATCGGTGCTCCCAAGCGAGGCTCGAACTGGGTGATGCCTGGAGCCATCTTGACCGGAGTGTTCCAGTTCCATGTACGTACCTCCTCCCACTGTGAGGGGGAAGCGGCAGGTTCCTCCTTTTCACCTGCATCGGCTACCTTCTCCGATTGTGGCTCGGAGCTTTGAGCCTTGTCCTTTTCTTTGTCCTGGTCCTCGGCAGGCGTCTTTTCCTCCTCGATCTTGTGCCAGAGCGCACCACTGCCCTGGAGCATGCATCCAGGACTTTGCGGCGAGCCGTGTAGGTCGGCGCTGTGAGGATCGAGATCGGGGCCAAGAACACACCACTGTTGCCTTCCATCCTGGTGGTTGTGAGGTCCCATTCCAGATGGCCAAGGCCGTTGTCTTGAAGAGCCCTGGCGATTGTGAGCTCTCTGTCTTCAGCCGTAGCCCATTCTGGAAAATTACGCACCACCAGGGTACGTTTGGCAGCTTCGATCTGTGAGTACATCAGATCTTTTTCGGTCCATGCGGTACGTATCTTGAGCATGCGGATCTCCTGTTCCAGCGTGTTGATCTTCACGGCGTGCTGGGTCAACTCCTGTCCCACATGTGAGAAGGCCGCTTGGAGTGCCGGTCCCACCTTGGTTTGCAGCGCCTCCGTGATCATGGCTGCACACTCGGCTCTGGACACCGGCTGTGAGGAGCTGGCATCACTCTGTGAAATACTCACGTCCCAGTCTTGAGGTCGGGCCGCTGGGGCTGCGGTTGCCAACACCGAAGGCCCGTCTCCTGTGAGAAGGGCTACTGCGGAGAGCTGCGAGGACATTGCATTCAGCACCTGAGAAGAGTCCATGGCTGCTGTGAGAGCGAGCAGAGAAAAGGGGAGCGAAAATCTTGAGCACTCGTGAGCCTGATGACAAAATATCAGCAGATGAAGCACCTGCTGAAGAAGTACCGTCGGCAGAAGTGGGAAGGCCTCCAGGACCGCCGGACGGAAGACGAGAAAATGATGCGGAGGATGCAAGGGAAGTCGAAATCGAAGGAGAAGGAGCACCTATTCACAAAGCGAAGATTGGTACTCTGCACACCTTTGCGCTCATTGGTATCGGAACCCGTACTGTGAAGCATGTGTCAGGGCCAACATGAAACGCTTCCGAACAGAACGTGGAGCCTTCAAAAGAGAACTGAACTCTGGGGGCGTTTTGATTACCTTTGATTTCATTGACATGCAAAGCCACTGACATGGGCGCGGGCAACGTTGATGAACATGGAGAAATCCTGGTCGTACGCGATGTGTCCACCAAGGTTATCGCGGCGATTCCTACAGAAAGTCGGTTCACAGAAGACGTCGTTGATGCCCTGGTGAAATTAATTGGATGGTACTTCCTGAGAAGCTCGAGTTTGCATGGAAGAACGAGTACGAGCGGATGAATGCTACACTCGAGGGGTTGAAGAACAACGTCGATTTGCAAGGCAAAGAGATTAAGGATCTCGATCCCGATGATCGGCCACCTGACGGAGATCACGGTGATGATGATGACGACGGTGACGACCCAAAACGCAAACCTCCTCCAGAACCAGGCGAAGCGGATGACGGACAGAGATGATCTCTAATCCCAAAGCCATGGAAGCATTTATGAAGGAATGGAAGGGACTGTGGATCTGACGACGTGGTCAATGAGGCAAAGAAGAAAGGACAGAAAGTACACATGGCTCGCGTGCACGGACTCATCTACGAAAAGAACTATCAGTTGAAAGAGGATGATCCGGCCAGGAAAATCAAAGGACGAGGCGTTCTACTTGGCGATCAAGTCAAGGATCAGAACATGGAAGCCGCGCTCTTTCCAAGACCTTGGCAACTCTCAACTCTCCGGCTACCTTCGATGCATCAAGGTGGGCCGATTATTATGGTTGTTTACCCGGGAACGATGTTCAAATGGCAGATGCTATCCAAGCGTACATCCAGGCGAAGCTCTCAGAGAAGCTTGGCATCCATCAGCGAATCATCGTAAATTCCGGCGACCAGTACGCCGGTTGGTCAAGGCACTATATGGACACCCTGATGCGGGAATCATGTGAGAACAACACTGCCACACAGCAGCACAAAAGGTCGGATTCAGGCCCCTTGGGGATGAATGGCCTTCGTTGTATTTCCACCCGGAAAAGAAGCTACTCTTGGTGATCTACGTTGATGATCTGAAGATGGCTGAACCCAAGGATCAGCTACCATCGGGATGGGAAATGCAACGTAAGGAACTTCGTCTCGAAGAAGAAACACCATTGGGCTTGTATTTGGGATGCCGTATCTCCAAAGGCGAAGCCGTCTTGCACGACAAGACATGTGTGCAGACCGTTACCTATGACATGGAAACGTACCTCGACATGACGGTCAAGAAGTACTGCGACGTCACAGGGTTCGACCCAAACAAATTCAAAACGGTTCTATCGCCGAGTCCTGCGGAAGAGACAAAGAATCACCCAGCAAGGGCGCCGCTAGGCAACGGCAAAAGTCATCGATGCACGCGGTGTTGGACACACCATGCCTGTTGACACGGATGGTCGGTTGTTACCGCCTCCAGCTATTGCCAAGGGCCTAGCGGAAGAGAAGTCACAGAGGCTAATCGAGGCGCCCTGGCACCTCAAGCGGCAAGTATACTAATGAAGTTGCTGTGCGCCGCCCGAATTTGTCAGTTCGACCTCTTGCGCAGCATCAACAATTTGGCTCGCAAGATCACCAAGTGGACCAAGAAGGAGGACGCATTACTGCACCACCTCACGGCGTATGTGCACCAGTCCAAACATCACATGATGATTGGTTGGGCGGAGGACTCCATGGAGACCTCATCCATAGGGCTGCTTGCGGATGCGGACTATGCTGGTTGCGGTGAGAGCTTGAAATCTACCTCTGGTGCTCATTTGCACGTTCAAGGTCCTTACACTCGTTTACCTCCTGCGGGACTAAGCAAAAGGCAAGGGTGCCTTAGTCACTCTACACCTGAGGCTGAGATTGTCGCGGCCAACTTTGTTATGACTTGTTTGGGGCTTCCTGCCATAACTCTTTGGCAGCAACTTGGCGGCAAAGACCCCAACTTCGTCTTTGATGACGATAATCAGACCATGATCGGCGTGATTCGAACTGGAAAGAACCCAACCATGCGCCACCTCGAACGGACGCACGGCATCTGTGTTGGCTGGATGCATGCCATCTTTCAGGAAGGGTATGTGTCGTTGGCCTACGAGGTTACCGCTAAGATGGCTGCGGACACACATACGAAGTCGTTCAAGGACTCTGTCTCCTGGACACATGCGTGTGGGTTGATCAACATCTTTCCGCCAGCTATGACTGGATCCCAGGATATCATGGATCTTATGAAGCCTACTCATTCACAAAGCACGGCTGAGAAGGGGCAACAGCTCTATATACCTTCAAGAGCGACGTTCCTTGCTTCCCCTACACTCAGACTCCCATATTGCCGCAGGTGCTCTATCGAGCGGGTCTTTCGAGCAAAGAAGGGTTGCAGGAGCACGACAGCGTTGACCCCATCTTGGTTGTCAAGTTCCCGCGCATGTTGCGGGATCCGCCATCGGCGTTGCCGCCGGGTCGCTACCTTCGGTCGACCTGGATTCTTCGCGAGGGCGCGTGCTGTGATTCCCGATTCGCCTGTCAAGTTCGATCGCTATGTGGAGCGTGCTGTTTTCCAGTACCATCCCATCCGACAAACTTTTCCGTCGGCTCCGGCGATTGTTTCTCACGAGCGGCTTGAGATCGAGTACCCGTATGGCCACAGATTTGTGCGCACCCTGCCGCCTGAGTGGCGGGCGGTGGTCGCGGCGCTTGCTCGCGCCGTCCATGAAAGGTACCAGGGTTTCACATTGCCTCTTCGATGGAACGGTCGATGTCACAAACAACGAAATCCTTATCATGGATCGCTGTTTTGGACACGAATTATCGACGAAGTATGGGAGGATATGTCACAAAACGTCGAGAACTTGAAGTCGAAAGATATGACAAGGCAAGTGTGCCGCATGTGGTTGAATTCAAAGACTACAATGGCGGCCTAGTCATCGAGTTCTACAACAGCACCAAAGAATTGGTGCATGTGTATAAGGATGAGCAGAACGATGCAACAGTGAAGATAAAGATCATTGATGCACCGAAAGAAGTATCCGTATGTACGCTCGTAGGTGTGGAGTTTGCCCCGGGCATGGATTGAACCAAGAACTTCGATCCAGGGCAACGCTATGATCCCGGTAAACAGCTGAAAAAAAACCTAGGCACAGGACGACAACCGGATGATGCAATGTGCGGGTATCTTCATGATGTGCTCCAAGAGAGACAATTGGATTCAAGAACTCGGCGGTTTTCGTCGGAGCTGGAGTCATGGGGGTACGTCGCGGGTAGACCGGGGCTTCGTCAAGAAGAACCAGAATCTCGCGATCCTGCAAACCGCGTCTGGGACTCAAACTTCCCCTGGGAGGAGGTCGTCCAAAGAGTTGCCCTTACTGCAGCGAAGTCAGGAACTCAGGTGATCGTTCGGAAGCTCAGGTCGCTGATTCTAAGCCAGCAGTATGCATTGATGTGCAAGGGCGAAGCCTGGAGACACAGCGTCATCGACGGGTGCTCCCACGGTCAGAGACTGTTGACAACAGGTCACGATGGACAACCATGTGTGAAATACTGCAACAAGAAGTGGGAATTCTTCACTGCCAACACGGCTCTGGAGCAGAAACCTTCGGATCACGGCAGGGCAAAGCATGTTCACGCTTGTGAACAAGACTACTCGGTCGAGAGTAACAAGGAGGTGAGGACTAGCCAGATCTCAAAAGGATTGCTCAAGTCTCTGGCCTTTACGGCAGGTGGCATTAGGTTGTCCATGCCAGTCAAGGAACCCAAAGGGTAGCCGGATGGCGTGATCGTCGAGTTTAGGCTCAACAGAAGGGTCACAGCTAAAGGTTCTGACCGGCACGCGTGCATTGTGCTTGACGAGCCTCCCAAAACCGTTGCTCAGGAGACTGACTTGGTAGGAAAGATCAACAAGTTGCGTGGCTACAAAATGCAGACGCCTGTGCTGTTCACAGTCGCTTTTGCGATCAGGCGACGGACCTGATCCTAAGGTTGGGTCTTCTGCTGGGGAAGAAAACTTGCCTGGGAGATACAAACGTTTCCGGGGGCTTATGAAGTCTCTCAAACGCCTGCTCAGGAAGTTTGCGGAGTCGCCACGTGTCTATTTTTCTCTTGACATGCCGTCGACATGTTCGTTTTGGTCATGGCCTGAACTGCATGCTCTTTTAGGGTCTAAAGTTCACAAGGTCAAGGCTGCTGAATACATTGACGCTACAGGAAGATTGACTGGACGTCGTTGCGTGATTTCCAATTTCTTTGACGTTAAATGTGTTGAAGAGAGAGTTTCCCTGAATGCCAAACGCAAGAGAGAGTGCAGATTGAGATTGCATTCGCGCAGCTTGGTCAGTGATTGCTTCGAATGTCGGCAGCATCTCATGTCACAGTGCTGATGCAGGAAAATATGTTGAAGATGAAGAAAAGCATGGTTCGCAGAGGCGTAGGAGTGGTAGTTTGCACACTGAGGCCTGTAACATCAGGTCTCGGCCTTTCAGCAACTAAGGTCTACACATCGGTGGAACGGGGAAGCCTGCACCCTGTGTGGCAAGGCAGAACCGGGGAAACCGTAAAGTAGGAGAGGGCATCCCGTGTGATACCATCCTAGCCCAGAGCCATGGCGAATGTCAACTATGATGTTCCTTTTCAGTTTACTGGCGTGAAAGAAGAAGATGTATTTCCTGCGCGGTCGTTCTTGCAGACACTGAACTTGTTCGAGAAGGTCCTCGTGATCT